TCCTCATCAGAGGCTGAGCTATGCCTCATATGCACTTGATATGATAGAATTAATCATATAAATAAACCGAGTGATGATAGCTTTAAAATAGCCATGTCTTCATGGGCGAACAAATTCTAGTGAAGAATTACATGCATCAGGACAGAATTTGGTTTATCATGGTTAGCTAATTGGCAGTTAAATAGATATTCATCTATACGGGAGACACTATTGCTCACATCTATGTAAATTCATAGTTTGTATTCTTATATGAGAAATCTTTTGTGAAGCCATATAAAAGAATATAAAAGTGCTGATATTGCATAAATGGCGATACAATGAAAGTGCTGGACAATTGAGTAACAACACACTCAGGAGGTTCAGCATTGTTCATCCATGGAGCGATGGATAAAGTGGCGTTTTAAAAACTTTGTTAAGCTTTGCGTAGTTGGTGACTTCAGGCGTAGGGAATTGATAGGACCGGCAGGAATACTACTTGCAGCCGCGATCAGGTTTGCATCACCGACACCACAACCACCTCCACTTGTATTCGAGACTGAGCCACCCGATCCAACATTTCCCGCCAAACAATTGACACTAGCACTGCTACCGCTGGTGCTCCATTGACCAGTTCCTCCCGACTGGCAGCTATATCCAGAGACTTTTTGGCTTCCTAATCCAAGACTTTGCCCATGGCTAGTTGTAGATTGTAGGGGAGTTGATGTGGTCATAGCTGAAACAGGCAGTGCTTGAATAGGCGTGATACTGTGAGCAGCCGTCGCCGAAATAGTAACCTGTCTGCGACCAGAGAGACGGGCTTCGCGCTCACGCTCTTCTCCGGCCTTCAGATGGTGGATGACAGTAGCTAACAAGTCAGAAATCATGTGATTCAACGTAGAAGACACTTCCATAAACTGTGCGCCGTGGAGGGTGGCTAATTGTTGACCCTCTTTAAGAGAAAAAGGAGGTATAGCGTCGAAAAATTTAGCTAAAATTAAGCAGGCTAAGTTAGAGTTTGATTGTAAAAATTCCTTATTTATTATTTATGGGATTTCGCTTAAAATGTTTGTGTAAAGTTAAATAATAAGTCAGGAAAATATAGAATGTAGGCATCAGGAAATGCTTTATTTCATGCAAGAATAGGCTAACATTTAGCATCTATGAATAATACTGCTTCCGATAGAGGAAGAATGAAAATAGCATAAATGCCTTTGGAATTACAATTCTATTTCTAGCCTTTAATTTATTTTTCCCAGATGGGTATATTCTCTTATTTGCATATAGTAAAGTTGGACATGTTCCCCCTTCCTTTTTAATGAAAGCTGGCGCACTAAGAGCAAACAAAGTAATACATGACTGGTATGCTCTTGTATTTATGTTAAAATTCTTCACTATCTTCAGTTTCTGCTTGAAATACGAAAAGTTTAATCTGAAAGAGAGTATATTGGGATATTAAGCATTGAAAGAATCTTTATTCTTTATTGTAACGAAGCCCTAGTTTCCAAAATATGTACATGTTTCAGTTTAAAAGCGCAAAAATTCATTTCACCTATTACTCGCTCTTTTACTATTTTATCAGTATAATCAAACTTTATTACCTATATTAGAGATTTCCCTCAGATATACAAATGATTCTCCTTTTTATTTGTACTATTAACCAAGTTAGATACGCATGAGCTAACATAGAATATTGAGTTAATTTATATTTAGCTGCAGATTCACCTTTGTTACTTTCTTTTCACTATTTCATAGTCTACTAAAAAGAGCATAGATTCATATTTATTGTGCAATATAAGACTCACATTATATCGGTAGTCTCAAAACTCTGCTTATATACGAAAAATTGAATTGAAATGTTTAGGTTTAGGAAGTATTTAGAAGAAAGTCATTTTTACTTTAATTACAGTACTTAAAAAAGTAAGTTCCATATAGGTTAGTGGGCCTTACTTTTATAATACATCAGCAATCTATAGTTAGCATTGAATGAGTAATACTCCTAAACCAAATTATCAGGTTTAATTTACTGGAGTCCATTCATAAAGGGCACTCGAAGTTCCTCTTTCAGCGAGCCAAACATCAAGTGACACAAGTCAATATTCCACTCTTTTTCTTAGCATAATAGTAGTCTACTAAATTGCTATATTTAAGCATAAATAAGAATAAAAATATTATTGTGACATCGAATTAAATTGAAAAAATTGCTTGAAAGAAAAGTATTATTTGCAGTTAGTTTGCTGATATCACTAATGTAAACTGAAATAGAATAAATATATGCATATATATAATATATATTTTATAGATGATAAGAATGTTGACGCCAACATGGCGAACTAATCCTGAATTCGAATAAGAAATGGGCCAAAATATCTTCTATGCTTTTTTAGTGAGAAATAATTTATAGTCTCTGCACTCTAACTAAGAGAAAGAAAATTGATAGATTAAATGTTTTTTTATATAAAATGTGCTACTGACCAATGCCTGAGGATAGCTTTAGCACATAAAATTGTGCCAAATAGGCACATCTTAAATAAAATTGAAGGAAAGCTTGCTTTCAAAGAAGCCCTTAGTGATATATTATGACTTAAAATTCCATTTCTAAAGAAAGGTTAGTTC